AAATGTTAACACGCATAACGTTGATGCTGATAACTTTGAACGATGTGGGCGGATGATAAAGCCGCTTTGAGAAAAAATTCTCTCTATTGGTGCGGACGTTGCAGGGACAGTAAAATATTTTAGAGCTTTTTTTGATAGATGAGGATATGATTGATGTTTCGTTAAAATAAGATCATTGTCCATTCTTTGTTCTTTACCAAAATTTTTTTCTGTATCACTGTCAAGAATGACTAAGAAAGAAAAGAAGAAGAAAATAGCCTGATTTGTTCTTATTTTAATTATAGGTTATTGTATGTTAAGTCATTTGTCTTAAAATTTTAATGTCTGAAGAAGATACAAAATTCGCAAGCCCAAAAATTCTTTGTTCAGCATACTAGTGAAAAAATTTCAGGTACTCGAAAATACTCGAATATATTTTTAAGTACTCGTAAAGAAAACTACCGAGTACGAGTACGAGTACTGAAGATTTTGTACTCGAGTACGAGTATCGCCCATCTCTGCCCGAGTTCTGGGACAATTGTCAGCAGGGTACCCGATCAAGTACCTGTGACATTCTGGTAGCAAGCCGGGTACTTTTTTGGGTACCCTTCTACCAGTATGTCACAAAAACGGGTACCTTGAAATCAGTACTTCCACTAGGGCAATCAAATTTTTTAGTCATGGGTGAGAATGATCGTTATATGCACATTGTCATGACAAAGGACTCCTTTCTTAGTTGTTCTCAGCTATTCGTATTTATCCGGTCGTCTCTTTCATGCATTAACTTTCTTTTATAAAGAAACATTAATACTGTTAATAGCACCTTTCAAAATGTGTCTGGTGATTTTCATTAGAGTCTGTTTTTGACCAATAGGAAAAAACTAGACTATAAAAGGGAAAACGTTTAGGAAAAATAATGGTGACATCAGTGACTATTTTGTACAATGATTCTATGCTGGGATTTGTTTAGGTAGCACTGTCTGTCGATCAGTTCTACTATGGTATAATTCGTAACTGCTATGTTAATATCCTTCCGTTTGTACACATTTCTAAACCTATTGAAAAGTCTAGTATAATCATATAGAATAATGGCTGGAAGTATCAAAGAGGAAGCAATGGTGAAAACTGATGAGATCGCTCAACGTCTGTCAGTGGCACAATTGAGAGAATCTTTCGAGTCTAAAAATACAAGTTCTTCATCGAGACCGAAATCCATCGGTAGAGATTCTAATCGACAACAACAACAACAACATCTTTCAGCTAAGCAAACCGGCGCTGGTACCACCGAGCATTTTACAAAAGAACTTGAAGGTGTATTGAAATCACAACCAACAAAAAATAATAGTTATATTCGTTCAGCTACTAATAAACTTTCGGATAGTGATGATGTAAACAGACAAACTGAGTGTCTTTCCACTAAACCACAAGAAACTAGTAAAATGAATCGAAACAGCATCAGAGAAAAAGATAGCAAATGCTCTGACATCTCCGAAGTCCGTCAGAGAGCAGAACATGTTGTAGAGCAACATGTTAATCAAGTCAAAGCCAGCTACATTAAAGAAAAACTCGAATTCAATATTATGATTTGTGGTTCACCACGCGTCGGCAAAAGTACATTTGTTAATACAATGTGCGGTCGACAAGTTGCACCGACAAGTGGGAGCCTGAACACATGTACCACCGAAGTAACATGTTATTCTTACGCAGACGACAGAGAAACGGAAATGGGTGTAAAACATTTCAAGATGAACATTTGGGACACACCAGGTATTGAAGAATGGGAAAAAGTTCAAAATACATTTGATAACAATTTTTCAACAACAAATCCAATTTGTTTGATTTTCTGTACTGCACCGGGTGCATTTACAAAATTGGTGCATGTGTTTTTCTTTATTGTAACGTGTATCGTCGTCCATCTTCTAAAAAGCTCTATTACGATAATCTCCTTAGTTTTCTTCTCCAAAACGCAAAGAAATTATGTCACAGTTCTCGTAGTCAAAGACAAATTGATGCTCCTTTTGTTTATTTTCAACATTAAAGTTGAATTCAGCATCCAATATAAAATGCGGTGATTTCCCTAGCTCAGGTTTT